ATTGCGCTGTGCACAAGAGACAGACGAGCAAGCTAACACAATCGGTGGAAAATTCCAAAATGCGGAAGGCTGCAGCTGAGCTTTCGATCGTGGCTAGCCACAGTTGGTACATTGGTACGTACATGCATAAGTATTTGCATCGGTTTATGTCAGGACAATGATAAAACATCGTTTGGTTTAAACGCGCCAAATGAGCCATTAATAGAAAATGCCGGTGAAATTCGCGCACCCTGGATTCGAATAGAAATTAATCTATTTAAATTAAAGCTGCCCTGTGAACGTATGACGTTACGGCGGTCTCCGGACGCCCATAAATTACTTAATTAGCTATGATCATGGTGGTAGTTTGCGCGAAAAAGTTAGATAAATAACGCATCGCATCTGCGGTGGTAAAATCGTATTTTATTAACTCCAGCGACATCATGATATTTGTTACGTTACATATCTCGCGTGTGATGTACGAAATTGCATTTCCTGTTGCAACGTTCGGTTTGTTATCGAACAACTGATTAAAGATCCCTCGCGTACGTCCTGCGTGAAAAATTGATAAATGTACGATTCAACAAGACGATAATTTATCGACCGTATACATGAGAAACGATCAGGCTGACCTTATAAAATATGATAGGGCCAGCAAAGCGCATTGAAAGTATTATTATGGAGGTATATAATAGTGCGTCCCAGGCTGTATTCGCGCCAATAATAAGTGACGTAAAGTGCCCAATTGATCGCGATCTTCGCCAGTTTCGCGCGAACGAGACCACTTTTCTGAGCCAACGAAGCTGAATTAATCGTCGCCCGGCGCCTCACTCGGCGTTTCCGTCAGCGCGAGCACGACGAGCACCTCTTACGCTTTCCTTTCACGTCCGAAAGAGCAGCGATTTATCGTCCCTTATTTTCACATCAACCAGACAAAGTGTACGCACACATACAAGCGAACCTCATGTTTTCGATTCGCTTCTTGAAGAAGAGATTTCAAAAGCTACCTCGTGCAATCAGATTTCTCAATGGCTACTTCTTAATGCATATTTAATTATTAAAATCTCTAAGAGAATCTATTGTATGAATAATTATAGC